ACCCCTCCCCTTCAACACCTTTGTATTCTTAACCCCAGTCGGGGAATCCTTCACAAAACAATCACGTGTCGTCACATTATCGGTCAAAATGACCCCCACCATCCAAGGAAGGTCACTACAGTAATAAGGAATTGAGATGACTGCATCCCTTCCTCCCTTTGCAAAGGTTCATGTAAACGCACGCTCCGTGTAAACACACGCTAAGGAGTCCTCCCGAGCAGCGTGCGTTTAGGCAGAGACTACTGTATAATCAGGCAGTTCCCCAAAATTAAAATGACAGAGTAGAAAAAGACAAACAAACAAAAATTACAGATATTTTTGCAGCTACATATGAAGTCAAAATTTACTATTGCCCATTTCATATGAATATTGGCCAATCTGGCCAAAATCAGTCAAGTAGACCCTTGCTGCCCCCACCCCCACCCGCCCCACCCCCAACCAGACTACATTTGACTTTAGAGGTCTTTAACAACTACTTTGCCTATTCCTTGTTTTGTTGCAGAGAGTTTAGTTGAAAAATATGCATATGTTAGCATTTTCATCATGAAAAAGACACAAACTTGTATTAACCACCAACATGTTTAGAAAAGAAGATTTGTATATTAGGATACAGTTAGTAACTTGTAGAAGAGACAAGAAGATATTTATGATAAATGAGAAATACTTGGAAAAACAATAATCAATCATTTAGTCAGTAGACGTACCAACGTCTGAGGGTTAAATTTTAAAATTGCTACAGCAAACTGTTAAATATAACCAAAAGTTTTTAACATAATAATGTAAACCCACTTTCCGTAATAAGTAGCTCACATTGACAAATGACACTTTCACTTATGTAGTAATGCTGTAAATGCATCAAACACCCTTTTACACTACTATGATAACTTAGGGGACGGGCTGCTTCAACCCTATTTATCAGTGCCAACTCCAGTAGTGTGAGACACATCTCTGTGCAATAACAGAGATACTCAATTAAAAACTTCCTCTAAGTCATGTCTTTTGTGCACAACGCAATATCATACCATAGGAACCGGCACAAGGTCTTCCATAAGTAACAACTCATCAAATAAGTTAAAACAACATTATTATGATTTCGGTACATAATTATATAAATATATTGCAAAAATGACCATAACACCAACAGTAACAAAGGCAGTGTCTGGCTGGAGACCAAAGATGAGCATGGAGAGTACTGTCGTCACTGGAATGGCAGAGGATATGATGAACAGCCTCACCATGTTGTTACTATGCTTCATGATCAGAGACATGACTAGCCCATTGAGTGCCTGAAACACAACATTAGAAGAGAAAAAAAATAATAAACCAAGAAATAAAAACCAAAAAAAATTGTTTGCGTCAGTTAAATCCTCAACTAAATTTGTAGGCATGTTTGAGGCAATAATGAGAAGTATGGGTCACCATCAGTCAACTTAGGGCAGCTTTGGACTACAGTGTATGGGTCCACATGAGCACACACAATTTTGGACAATGAGAAAGACAGAGTAATAGAAAGAGCATCTGGGAGCGATGAGCCAAAGCGAGGGAAAGGAAGAGAGAGACAGAGACAAAGAGAGAGAGAGAGAAAGAGAGAGTGAGAGGGGAGAGGTGAAAAGAGAGAGATAAGTATAAGAGAATGAAATCCCCATAAGCGCAAGTAAAAACACACTTACTTCACTTTATATAAAGAATATCAAATATTTCTGTTACAAAAAATCATGGCAAGCAACCATAAAATAATTCTATACTAGTGCTTGCAAACCTGGGCCATATCATCACCCACAAATGAGCAATTTGGTAATTTTAGTGGGCAGTGGAGATCACCCGAGTAGTGACAAGTTTTACTTAACCCTATCCGAACGCCCTGGGGTCATTTTGTACCCTGCGGTTGTATTCTTCACATTTTTTAAAACTTCTAGTACAAAGATCTCTTTGAAACTTTCAGTATTTCTCGAAAATTCATTTTGACAGACTGCTATGCAAAGCGTACAGATTGGATGAACAAGTAAATTTCCTCTTTGGAAGGTGATGGCACAGAGTTACCCATGTCGTATGGATACAATAGTAAAGCACGACGTACGGATAGGGTTAATGAAAGTTAATGCCCCGCTCGGAAATACATGTGAATGGATGGTACCAAAATTTTTCAAAGGTGGGAGCTAGCTTCAAAAAAGGTTTACATGCACTGGTCTGTACCTATACTCCTTGTAAGCTGAGGGTCCAGTAAGGGTTATGTATTCATTAGCCGAGCTGGTTGTAATGGAGTAAAGTACTCCAGTACTTGTACTTACGTTACAATTTTCGGTACCTTTACTGTACTGCGGTACATTCTGAGAACCAGTACTTTTACTGTACTCCGATACTTTTTATAAAAGTACTTTTGAGTATTTTTAAAGTACATTTTGAGTACTTTTGAAGCTTAATGAAAGAGTAAGTGCCGGCATTTCTGATCATAATTTACGAAACAAACACCCGCGTGGGCACAGCCGATCAACGAAGAGTTAAAAGTTGTGATCAAAGAAATGCCCATCGCGTCAAAGATCAGCCACTCTCATGAATGTGATCACAAGCGTTTTTAAATTCCATGAAATGGTACAATGATCCCCAGACGGGTTCACACAGAGGTGTGAACTGATGCGTTTCTTTTCTCTAAACATCGCATTCGCATCTGAGCTCGCCACCTGAACTTACATCACTCGCTGGGTGGGTAGGGCCTACAAGTTCGCTCCAGGCAGGATCACATTGAACTGTGAACTCTTCCCTGACCATTGAAGTTGAAGGCAGTTTTTCTCTATTCCCGATATCGCAAGAAAGCCTGAATTTTAATTGGTGTGGTCACAGCGTAATGGTACATAACGACAAAGGCGAGGGACTCAATCAGAGATGGAAAGCTACAATTTTGGACAGGAAAAGGGGAGGGGCAACTGGATAAACTTAGATACAGATCTCGAGACGATATGCTAATGAGAGTACGGTATATTATGCCATGCCTCATGCCACCATGCTACTGTGATTGGTCATCAAGGTTGACCACTCTTTGCTCGCCATATGTCATAAACCCACCCAGGGGTCACGTCAGTTCATGGGTCACTGTAGATTCTTCCTTGGCTTCGTCGGCTAAGATCCCGTATTTCCCTTGCTCCCCCGAGCACTGGGATCTTAGGCGGAGACTACTGCAGTAGAGAATTTTTTGTTACACTACACTTACAAGACTCGAGGAAATTACATGTAGGCCTATTTTGGTTTGCTGTAGGCATCGTGGACTACACAGTGTGACCACAGTGTCTTACCACTATTATAAGGAAGAGGCTAGCCGTACTTAAAGACGGCTAGACTGCTAACGGCTAGACTGGTTGGCTAGGTTGGCTAGGTTGGCTAGCCGTACTTAGACAGCTGGGCAAGCCATACTTATTTTTAATATGATGGCTAGACTGACCAAAAAAAATAAAAAATAGGCCTACTGAATTGTAAATAAATTTTTTGTTTGCAGTAGATTCTACCTAAAGTATTTGTATTTGAGACGAAACCAGGTTTTAATGTCAGTGCATGTATTTTAAACCTGAATAATTACTAATGAGACCTGTTTTCTAATGTTAATAGGGCCTAAGATAAGTACGACTAGACGGCTAGGTTAGCCGTACTTAAGGACGGCTAGACAATCAGGCTAGCCGTACTTATTACTGATGGCTGAATTGTAACTGAAATGTTTAGTTTGCAATGCCTAAAGTATTTGTGTTTCAGACAAAATCAAAAGGTACCTTACTGACTTGCATGTATTTTAAACCTGAATAATTAACTAGATCTAGATCTAATGAGACCTGTGTACTCAACAGCTTTGAGTCGATAAGACCAAACCTAGATCTAAGTACGGCTAGACTGGCAGTAGACTCGCTATTATAATCAATTGAAACTGAAACTGAGTTCTCAATGTATATCAATCTAACAATTTTTTAGGCTCCCTAAATTTCTTTTTAACTTTTTTGTGGTTTGTGCTTAAGGCTATACCTTGATTCCTTGGGAATTTTTTAATGAAGAATTCAATGCACGTTTCCATTTTTTTGGTTTTTTGCAGGCCATTTTCATCAATTTTATATTTTCTTAAGAGCAAATTTGTCTCTACATTTTCCAATTTGGATACTTTTCTCACTTTTCGACCTCCAGGACTGACTTACATTTGATCATATTGTCTTGCTCAAACAAGTTCTATTTATAATATCACTTACTCCCTAGTTGCGTCTGTTTGTTTACTGGGGTTTTTTTCAATTTCACGGACCATTTCCATCTACGTTCAGTGCGCATATTCAAATGCTTTGTATTCTGTTTACATTATTAGTAATAAATGGCCTAATTTGTCAAATATACTATGTATGTTATTCAATATGATGTTTTGCATTAGCACTGAAGTGTTTTAGCATAGTAGTAGCAGAAAGTACTCAAAATGTACTCAAAAGTACTTTTTTTAAAAGTACTTGTACTCAAGGACATTTCACAGGAAAGTACTTTTATTGCACTTAAGTACATATTTTAGATTGGAATTAAATTTGTACTTAAGTACCTTTTTAAAAGTACTTTAACAGCTCTGTTCATGAGCATCATCACCTTCAAGCTATTCTGAGAAACACAGGTAAAATTAAAACACAACCATACTTGCGCAGGTATTAAAAAATCGAACGCTATAAATATGATGATATACATACTTGGCATAGGACTACAGCCCATGTGAAGTGGGTGAACCCATGAAAGAACTTGAGATTCTTATCTGCAAACAATTAAGAGCAAAAGAAAATGCACGAATATCAGAGTTACCTTTTTGGGGGGGCAGGGGGTGGTTGGCTTTTTCTTTTTTTTTTTTTTTTTTTTTTGGGGGGGGGGGGGGGTGTTCTACTAGATCTAGAAAGAAATAAGTAATATCAAAAGCAGCCTTTTACAATTTATTCCTAGGGTGAACCAGCTCTTCTGTTGGCATATCAGCATAAAAAAGAACTGAATAGAAGATTGCAAAAGTATGGTGAAAAGATGTTATCTTAATTTCATTATATTAATTCACTGGTCTCATCCAAATTTGAGCCCTAAGATATATACTGATCACCAATTTTAAGGTAAGGACATGAGACAGAACTCAGTAACATAAGCCTCATATTCAGAAAAGTTTCAGGCACAAGGCTCATTTATCGTAGCGATTGGAAACGGGCCGAACTGCTTTTAATTTTGTGGAGGGGGGAAGGGGGTATCAGGTTCACTGGTTTCCAAAAACAAAACTAGTTACATCAGTTCTCCTTCAGATCCCCTATATCTAACCTAAAGACAGATTCTATCCCAAAGGCAGCAAAGAAACAAAGTGTATTGACCTGGGAACTGTGTTGCTCTGATTCAACTTCGTGTGAACCTTTCTTCAAAAGTAGAATAAGAATTGAAACACCCCTTTAAAATGTAAGATGAAGACAGTTTACTGGAGAGGACATGTCGCTTCAAGAAAAGGAAGGGCATTGACTGTTATAAAGAGCTTGCTACAAATCGATTTTGCAAAGTTAACTCACCTGCCTGCCAGTGCCACAATAAGAAGTTGAGTATAATACCAAAAATATACAAAAAGCAGTTCTGCAAAGGTAGCGAAATCTGAAAGAAAAAAAGATTTTAAAAATAAAAACAAAACCAAAAAAAATGATAATTTAAAACACCTTGCCTATAAACAAAAGTAAAAAGAAAATATTGAACAAGGTGTTAAGCTAAAAAAGTTAGCATCCAAAAGCTAAACATGTAGAATTAAAGGATGCTCTTGTGGCCGAGAGGTTAATGTGTTGGCCTCTCATTCAAAGGTCCCGGGTTCGAAACCGGGTAGCGGCCGAAAAAAATTTTTCTCTAAAACTGTCTCCTTTCACCTCCTCTCCTGCTCACTAGCAATGTTCTGTTCTTACTTCTTTTTTCAGCCACACCCCTGATCTTCTCATAGGAAAGATCTACACCTAGTCTTCTTGGACAAGGGCGACAAATCTTGGAGGGCCCGTGTGCAAAGATCCCTGGTGGTCTAACATCGATAAGAGAAGGCTTCGGCCGCCACCCTGGCAAAATTCAAAATTTCCTACCAACTGAAAAAGTTAAATGTGTCCTGCGCGCTCATGTGACCTTATGCAGTTGTGAGCCCCGTAAAACACTTACCAAAAAAAAAAAGTAGAATTAAAACTGAAGTATGCATACAACCATGTAAAACGTATTCTCAGCTAGCCCACTTCATGAGATGGAATAGAGCAGTGACCTCATGTCAAGAACAAACATTTAAAACACAAAGATCCGCTGGTTGCTGCACAAAATAATCTGCCACATTTTTATTTCTTAAAGACAGATCAGGCAATACACAACGATAAAAATCATGTCTTTGATTTGATGTGAAAAGATGATTACTTATTGAAAAGTTTTTTAAATTTAAGGAATTTAAAAACGTTCAGAACTGAAATATTATTACCCAACAACCATTAAATAACAAGAACATACCTTGCTATCATGTTTAAGTATATACTCAGTGTAGACCCCAGAAAATCCTGATATTGTACAATACAGCAAAGCCATAACAAGGCCAAGCACAGTGATGTGAATTTCCTTCAAGGAAACCGTTTCTTTGGAAAGACCAGTGTACCTGTGGAATGGGTTAACCATATTCTTTTTTATAAATACTAGGCCTAGAGAATTATTGGCTATTCTCATATCTTGGATATTTCAAACAGTGAGTGTGACATTTAGTTGCTTTGATCGGATACATGATACAATTAGGTATCACCTACATTCATAAGCATCATCCTAACAATTAACACAAAGTAACTCCTTTCATGTAGAAACAATAGTTTTTATGAAAATTAAAACCCCTCCTACAAGCATTGTATCTATGTATGCATCTGCATTTTAGTGTGATGTTTTCATGTAGAAGAAAATAAATTAACTTCTTGCCAAAATGCTAAACCATTAGTCTCCACTCTATGTGGCAGAAAGTTCACAAGGACAATTTGAATGCAGCAGACAAACAGTGACAAGCAACATGTGTCCTCCACAGCACCTTTTATGAAATATTAAATGTGAAGGAGGGGGCAGGAGAAATGGGAAAAAAAGTCAGTGCAAGCATCATTGGTTATTGCACAGGTTTAGCACACTTTTCAACACTGTATGTTTTTTTTCAGAAGTGGACCACCGAATTCAAAATCCATCAGCAATACCACCCAGCCAAATGGATGGAGAGCCATAAAAGCTCCCCAAAATAACCCAAGTTCAGAAGGCAATTGAGAATGCAAACCAGGATAATCCGATCCATCTAATACCATAGCATAAAATAAGATGATACTTTGTTCACAAAAGTGCGAGCAGTAGTATTTTTCAATAATTTACCTCCGAGATGGTTTTGTTTTTCTTGGCGGCATACTTAAAACCCCAGATTGGAGTCTGGCAAAAACTTCCTCCTGAAGCAGCCCCATTATTCTTTAACTCCCACAGCAAGCAAAATTTTTATCCTTCAAATGGAAAAAGTACCAAGCACTTTTCTATCTTTCCATAACTTCTTCCTGATGGTACAACAATCATCTCACAAAAAGCATTTCCTCATAGTAAAAATTCTACCAAAAAAAACTAGGTAACATGTCTTAACAAATACTATATATATAAATATTTTATGGACTTACAGAACTATGAGGTTTTAACTCCATTTATAAAAAAAGATAAAGCCCTAGCTTTCAGATCACAATTGGAGAGTAAAACATTGAATCTCTCCAAACAATGCAAGATCAAACAATAATCCACACTGAAAAAATCATTATATAACAAAAGAAAACACTTGTCTTACCCATTTAGCATCCCCGCAAACATCAAAAGACCTAAAGATATCCACTGAAGATTTCTGAGACGCCTTTGTCCCCAGGTGAAATGAAGAAAAAGAAAGAAAAAAAAGAAGAATTGGATATCAGATAAAGTCTGTTGCATTCATAGACAAGTCAAATAAATGAGAATCAGGTTGTTTTTTTTTAAAAGCATCATACTTAAATTGCATTTGACAGTAACTAAATAACACTGCAAAGTGTTCAAGCACTTAATAGGCTACCACACTGTATGCATCCCTCCAAAAAATGAGACAGGGAATAGTAGAGTTATTATGAAATTATGTGAGTCTTTGGCTAAAAGAAATGCTAAAATATAATCTATCACTTTAGTTTTTCGTTACATTAATGCAGCTCACAAAAGAAAAATGTGCTAAGAGATACACTGTACGTTTTAAAAAGAAGTGTGTAGTCAACACCTGGGGAGAGTTTTCAAGAATAAAAAGACATCGTTTTCAAATCTCTGGTTTCCATGGTAACCCCACCAAAAATATATCTACATTTCAGATAAGATGAAATTTTGAAAAAAAACTCTGAAAGCCTTAAACTCTTTACTTTTCGGAATAAAGAAAATCTAACTTCTTCATTTCTGCATAAAAAAAGAAACAGTGCTGGTAAAAGATTTCAAAAACGGAATTAATTAAATAATAAATGAAAGCTGTATTTAACACTAAGTAATGGAGAACATAGTATTACCTTTTCATTATCATCCTGTACAGAAGAGCAGTTGATGCTATTTTCAAATTGCACAGCATCTATTTCAAAATATAAGGGGACAAAGAAAGAAATGACTCATAAATAAGCAATTTATTTTAACGGAAAAGACATGGTCTTCGAAAATACAGGAGCTGTTCTTTAACTTAGTGGCAACAAAGCATGAGATATGAATCAGTAGTAAATAAATCAAGGCAGCAATATAAGAAAAATTTTACAAATTATCAAGGACATGAAAACATCCCTTTTCCTCAATAATAAAAAATAAAAAGCATTGTGTTTACATTAAAAACCCTAGCACCATTATAGTCTAACACGCATACTATTATTTTGCAAACATACACATAACGGAACATGCACATAGTGAACAGATTTTCAAGTCCCAAATGTATTCTCATACTTTGTATTTAAAGTGCGTTCATAGGAAAAAGTTATTAGCGTCTCGCCGATTTCCCTATGCCCATGCTAGACTATTTAGCAAGTAAAAACTACAAATGTGACAAGTTTTATAGTCCCAGACTTATTAGAACACAGAAGTCTTTTATGATCTAGTAACATCCTACGGTTTTAGTCCTTTCAGGTTGTGCAGCGACATCAAGGTTAGCATCCAAAGGTTCAAAGCTCTCCGGTTGTATTCATTTTCCATTTTATATAAAGACAAATAATGAAATATTTCTGCTTTACACAAGGATGAGTTTGAATTTTTTTTCAACAACATATTCCACAATCTGTGTCGTGTGGGAATTCAAAATAACAAAAATTACATTCATAAAGACAAAAAAAGGACAAACTGGAAGCTGTCATTTTCAGAGAGAAAGAAAAGCTATTCACTTCATCAGACATCAAAAGGAATGATCCTAAGCACAATAAACCCAGTAAGGTAAAGTAACATAATTTATGAGAGTTCTTATGGGTTTCACAATCCACAATACACAGGTTCTGTCTCTGAGAAGCTCACAGATCATAAAAAGGGATTTAATGCTCAAAGGTTCATGATTAGCCATGCCAAATAGAGCAGCATATGAACAAAGAATCAAAAAGTTTCTTAATATTTCATGAAAAGAGGAATAATCAAAACTGATTGAGACTATTTTTTTATGCACATGAATAGTCTTATGCACTGGTATTATCATTAACTTGCAAAGAAACAGAACACTTAAATAAACATATATATATACCTGGAATGTGGCTGGATCCATTTGATCCTGCATGTATACAGCCAAGTTGTTTGTGACACAATAACAAACAGCTGGAACAGCAAATGGCAGGATATTTTTCAACCTGACGCGCGACAATCCATTTGTGGAGATTTCAGGAAACGCCATGACAAAGGCAAAGAAAAACTGGGAGCAGGAAGAAAAGAAAAGATTTTATCATTTCAATATTGAAAGGACAAAAACATCCTGGTTTCCCAAACACAACGTATCTTTGATGTTTTATAATTAAGAGTTACAGCAGCACAAACACAGCCAGTGTTGTACAATCACATACTTTAAAGACCAGACTTATCTTACAACAATCCAAGACAAAGAAAACATTCTTACTTAAGATTCTACAACATAACTAGCACAAAATACCAACCTTCACAGTTTCTATACTGAGGACCAGTGATGATGACTGATATACCAAAATCCCATCAATGCGACTGAGGTTGAGAAATATAGAATAAGAACTGTACACCAGGACTCTGAAACAAAAGTATTTTTCTTCCATAAGATTATAGTCTTGATTTTGAAAGGGCACAATGCTCTTCTAAGTACAAACAGGTCATTTCAAAAACAGGGCACTTGGTCTTGTTTGTGAAAAGAAAAAGTAAGGAGGGACGAAAAGGGGCAGAAACAATACACACCCTTAAGTAAGTGATAAATCTGAGCATGGGGGATTATAATAGTAACATGGAAAGCAGTCCTTTGGGGGGAAAAATTTAAGTATGCAAACTTAGGAAATTTTGGCTCATGAGAAAAAAGAAAGCAAAAACAGCTACAAATCAGTTACAGCAAAAATAAAACTATCAAAGCCTTGTTCATCAGAAATGTTGAGTAAAAAAATGGAGTTTTCTCTCATTAGAAAAAACACAAGTTGAAATCAGTTTTAAAAAAGGCAACAACTTAACTGTGGACACAGGGAAAAGACACCTGATATTCACAAGATTGCTTCGGTGTGAGAAATCTTAAACTTCTATTTCAAACTGCACAAAAGGAAGGTCAAGGGAACCACTAAGACATTGCTAACCTCAAAACCCCCCTTAAAGTTAAAAAATACTTACAAGTAAAAAAAAATGTAAAACTTACTCAGATATCAAAACAACTGGCCAAATATATGAATTCTTAACCAAGTTTTCCAATTTGAAATGCTCTCTTCTGGCTGGTAATCCGAGCTGCAAAGTGGTAGTCTGTAAAATGAAACAAAGAGAAAGAACAAAATACAGACTTCAAATAAACTTACATGACACAACAGCTTTAGGGAGAATATGAAATTCATTGTTCCACTCCAAACATAGAAATTTCATAAAACAAAAGAGAAAATTTTATTTTTTATGTATTATAGTAGAGGGTTTTACGGCGCTCGCAACTGCATAAAAGGTCATATGAGCGCCAAGGGGTGGGTGTCAACAGAGAAGTCTTTACAGGGAATCAGACTTAGACTGCTCACCTCTCTAGCTTAAACAGCACAAGGTCTGCTTCGACTATCAAGGCACCCCAAAATAGCAGGTCACAAGGGAGTGACAAACATACAAAAGAAGTAGAGGAAAATGACAACAGTAAGGATCAGGAAAGAAAAAGCAGCAGTTCCCTGTTGTAGATCAGGCACAGTTATGAGCGTGACATGAATCAGCCCATTTACAATTCTACTATGCTTGAACGAGATATGTCCCCCTTTTGGGAATGGTCTAAAGACACTTCAGTCAGTGGCACTGCCCCGGGGGGTAAAGAGAAAATCTTCTTCTTCAAATAAAGCTTTGACAAACCATAAAAGCAGCTGTTCTCTTTTCCTTGCTCCAGGAGGCTATCTCTTTGGTCTAAGATGGGAATGCACAGCTCTGGCAACAAGACACATTTCTGTCTTACAACTGAAAATTTCTTGTCAGCACTTCATAACAGTTTGCTCTTTTTGCTATTTCAAACAACAAAACAATTTACATACAGCATGCACATGTTACAACTCAATACATTACCATAATTACAAGTTCCGGAGGTGTAACATTTCTTCAGGACGATTTAGCTTTGGATTTGATTCTGTCTGTGTCAAAGGAATAAAAAATAAAAATGTTAATTTTTTTTCTTCCAACAAAAACCTCATCAAATGGAGAAATGGTACACACAAATAAAAAATAAGTCTTCTGTAAATAAATAGAGTAAGTGTGAAATAGGTTGGCATTCATGTCTAATAGGCCATTGCATGCTAGACATTGCCAGTTGCAATGAGCTCATGGACAGGATAGATGCTCTACACTCTATTACATCATCATGTGACTCTTCAGGAGCCTATATATACGCCTTTGCAGCTACATCACGCTTTTACTAAAGACTTGTTGACCTTTTCCATCAATTGTCATGTTTTGACATTTGTTCTCAAGTTCAACAGTAGACCCTGGATGAAGTCAGTTCCCTCTTGCGTTTGTTGAAATGTATCTTAGTTGAGTCAACCAATTTCCCTTCTTCTTTTCTTTTATTCACAACAGAGAAGACCTTTAAAGCAGCAAAGGTGTTCTAGTCATTTTTAAGTCAACATTGCATGAAAATATATTGCTATAAAATTCTTGATCTTTCCACTGGAAACATTGCTATAACTCCTGATCTTTCCACTGACTACTGAAATTCGATGTTGATGATTTTGTCTTGCCTTGTCAATCAAAGAATCTTTATTCAGCAATTTATTAGAAAGCATTTGAGAATTTTCTTTTCATATATAAATGTCAGTATTTTAATTACCCCATCAACAGAGTTTAGACCATTTAGGAGGCTGGCTTCAATACTGCCAGTCATTGTACGGCCAACCCAGCCTGAGAGAGATACAACATCTAAGCAGAAAGACAGAGATATTCGATAAAACAAGACAAACACAACAATCAGTAGGAGGCATAATTCATAATATAAAGGAGACATCTTTTAAACAAACTCTTAGACCACAATCCGTCTACCTGAGTATTTCGACAGTTTAAATTCCACTAAAGGTTTAAATAAAAAATAGATAAACAGATCTTTATCAACCTACCTGTAGTCTTGATTCAGTTATGGGTGAAAAATTTCAAACCTAACCAGTTGAAAAATACTGCAACTACAAAAACAATCAAAGTAGAAGGGATCAGCAAAAAGTAATAGGCCATACTGTCTGTGCTGAAGTCAAACGCCAACTCCGATGAAGACATCTGAAAAAAAAAAGATTATAAAGAACATGATATAGATTTTCAACAAATTAAAACCTTAACCCTTTGCGCCCTAACTGGAGCACCAGTGGCACGTAAAATTGCCCGTATGCCTAGCCACCGGTACTGCAGTGAGCGGGACCATATCCCCAACCCAGTCTGTCTGGGAAAAAACGCATGTGGAAACTGTGTTTACTACACTGGAGGTTACTGATTATTTTTACGATCTTTCTGATTTAGATGCTGATAATGACAAGGACTACTCTGAGTGGGATAGGGCATGTGATGCTGACGATGACGGCTTATATATAAATTGACAATTTATATATATATTTGTCTGTATATTATAGGCCAATGTATCTCATCATGTGTCTGTCAATGCAGATCTGTGAGTGTTTAAAAAGAAATGCAGCGTCATGGTGCAGAGAGCAGTTCCTTTGTAATTGGGGCTAATAATAACAACAGGAGGAAATTTTTCAAACTTACACTGAAACGTGGTGGAAGCGTGGTGTCACTGTCCCAAACTGATTAGTAGGCAAAACTGTACAGTAAATCACTAATACTGTACTCACCCAGTGTATGCGCCCAATAAGCAGTATGTAATATATATAGGGCCCAAATAAAATATTATAAAGTACTAAACTACAGTCAAACCTGTCTAAGACGGAATCACATGGGGGCCAGAAAAGAATTCCATCTCAGACATTTTCCACCTTGGACAAGGAGATATGAGGAGAGGGCAGGGGGGGTTCCAGAAGCTCAGCTGGTCGGATCAAGGGTTGCTTTTCCAGTCGGCAAGCAGCGTTCAAAACTTCACACTTCTCAAGGAAAGTGCGTTTATACTAGCCTCTCTGATAATGGCATGCGTTAGTCTACAAGATATGTCGCCACAGTACATGTATTTCATAGGACAACTGTTTGACATATATTAAAACCAGAAGATAAAACATCTCCTTTGCTTCCACCTTTCGCCCACCTGTCGGAGTAGGCCTAATATAAGTCCAGTCAACCATTATCATCCCTGCCATGAATAACAATGATAATAACAACGATTCATCAAGGAACTTTTTTCTCCGCTGGCTGTATGATCAGGACATTAGGCAGTAGTCATTAGTCAAATTAATTTCACACATCTGGTTACCCAGTCAAGTGACCATGCTGGAGCACTACTTGGAGAGCACTGTCAAGGCACTGGTGAGATTTCACACCGACACACGCCACCCTGACCATCTGCACCTCTCAGGGCTAACATGGATGAGATAACATCTCTACCCCCAAGTCTGTACAACATCTAGAGTCTCCTCCCTCACCTGGCAGCATAGCATTTAAAGTTAAAGCCTATGGCTATGGAACCAAGCTTCAATAGTTTTTGTTTCAAATCAGGGATGAGCGGGCAAAGCATAATTTTCCTTTATTTATTTAGTAGAGGTTTTACGGCACTCTCATCTGCATATAAGGTCATATGAGCACCAAGTATATAATTTTCCTTGTTCTTCTTAGAGGTAAAACTCTCCAAAGGGAAGAAACTCTTTCTTTCCATTTCCTCATTAGGCAGGTTGCCATTTTTAGGCCTCTATAGAGAAATGTAATTTTAGAATTAATCAAGGGGGGGAGGGGAAGGAGATTTCGTTAAAATCCATCTTAGAGAGGGTTCCTTTAAAGAAAGGTTTAAGGCAGATGTGCGACTGTATTTTCATCATTGGATATACCAATATTTTTTTTTAAAGGCTAAATATTTTTGTTTGGATGAGTGGGCAAAGCATAATTTTCCTTGTTCTTCTTAGACAGGTAAGGTAAAACTCTCAAAAGGGAAGAAACTCTTTCTTTCCATTTCCTCATTAAAAAGCAGGTTTCCATTTATAGAGAAATTAATGTAATTTTAGAATTAATCAAGGGGGGGAGGGGAAAGAGACTTTGTAAAAATCCATCTTAAAGAGGGTTCCGTTAAAAAAAAGCAAGGCAGTTGCGCGACTGTATTTTCATCATTGGATTACCGATTTTTTTTTTAAAAGCTAATTATTTTTGTTTGATCGCTAGCCTACAGTGAGTGCCATGCAAAGCATGATTGCAGAGAACTGAAATGAGCTTGATTTATTTTCATGCAAAAAGCTAATCTGCTCTCAATCTCAATGAAAATCAATGGCAGGGCCTGAAAAGTTAGAGGATTCAAAAGGTTCAAAATTCAACTCTAACTTCAAAACAGTCAAAACTTGTTCAAGAAGCCTGTCAGCAGTAACATTTAGAGTAAAGACACGGAGAGGAAGAGAGAGAAGGGGTTTGACACTCATGACTCATGATTTAAAGAGATCTTAGGAGGAGTTCCGAAGAGGGCCTGCACTTACTGTGACAAGGTCCACTGAGCAAACTATAGGCCTGCAAGACAAGGGTTAGGGTTGGGGTTTAGAAGGTTGGAGTTGGGGTTAGGGATAGATCTACCTGATACCCCACTCAAAATATCCCCTCTTTTGTGTGTTGTTGGTTGGCCGGCCCTTGCCAGAATTCCTTCGAGATCTCTAATACTAATATTATAGATCTAGAGGTAGATAATCTAGATCTAGATCTACTTCTCTGAGTGTCTACGTACACGGTAACCGGGCACCTAGTCTCAATATCTATGTACACGGTAACCGGGCACCTAGTCTCACCTTCACGTAGTCTCAGTATCTACGTCACGTACACGGTAACCGGGCACCTAGTCTCAGTATCTATGTACACGATAACCGGGCACCTAGTCTCAGTATCTACGTACATGGTAAACCGGAAGGAAAATTTAAGTAAATCAAATTTTGTCCAGTGCTGTCACTTGCTGAAAAAAAGAATACAAGTGTCTTGTCGGGCTCGCCATCATGACAGGTCACTGAACCTGTGCATGCACATCACATTAAGAGTACCGGTTGGGGGTCACCAAAGTTCATTCAAAGCCTGTGTGCTGCGAAGTATAGGGCTCCGGAATGGGGGGATTATTGATTTTTTTAAAAGGTACAGTCAGGGGAGGGGTGGGGATGAAGGCAACACCGGATTACAAAAACTGAACTTGGAGTTCTTCTGAACTGCCCGGTTACCGTGTACGTGACACTGAGACTACGAGCCAGGTTGCCGGTTACCGTGTACATAGATATTGACTCGAGGTTACATGCCCGGTTACCGTGTAGTCTACATGACACTGATACTACATGCCCGGTTGCCCGGTTACCGTGTACGTAGACACTGAGGCAGGTGCCTGGTTACCGTGTACGTAGACGTAGACACTCGTTCTAATTGAAAGTGGCTATTCTCACCCGCCCGGAAGTTCTCGCAAGATCAACTCCTCCACTCTTCTCTCTCTCTCTGTCTCTTTCTGAATACTGTCTATCGGTGTATACGATCAAATTGACCAAAACAAAGTTAAAAAATGATGTTAAAACACAAAAGTAAATTAATTTGGTTGTCTACAAAGATGCTACGGCTATTTAACTTTTCGAATCGAGCCGAACTACGCGGGTCGCCATTTTGTTTTGCCCGGAAATTCTCACGCTACTCCTCTCTCTCTTTCTCTCTCTCTCTCCACTGCCCACAGACAAAATTGTACGCTTTTAGTAGGCTACAGTTGTAATGGAACGTTTGTTCACGGCACAGAATTCTACAATTTTTCTGTTATCACAGTGTAGAATTCTGTGGTTTAGGTTAGGGTGAACGCAAAATTTGGTGAACGCGCACCGGGTGAGAATAGCCACAAGACTCGCCTGCACTATTCTCACTTCGGGTGAGAATAGAGGTGGCCTTCTAATTTAATGTCTAAATATAGATTTCTAAGCCTAGATCTATATGAAAGTGGCTATTCTCACCCGCCCGGAAGTTCTCGAAAGATCAACTCCTCCCCTCTTCTCTCTCTCTCTGTCTCTTTCTGAATACTGTCTATCGGTGTGGACGATCAAATTGACCAAAACAAAGTTAAAAAATGATGTTAAAACACAAAAGTAAATTAATTTGGTTGTCTACAAAGATGCAGTTGTTAGGTTTGATATCTTAGGCTTGCCGCGAATCAAACGTATATAGATCTAGATGTAGGTCAGGCTCAATCAAATAAGGGGGGTGGGAACTACCGAAAAAGCGCCCAAAACTGTACGCTTTTAGTAGGCTACAGTTGTAATAAAATGGCTAATGGAACGTTTGTTCACGGCACAGAATTCTACAATTTTTCTGTTATCACAGTGTAGAATTCTGTGGTTTAGGTTAGGGTTGACGCAAAATTTGGTGAACGCGCACCGGGTGAGAATAGCCACAAGACTCGCCTGCACTATTCTCACTCCGGGTGAGAATAGAGGTGGCCGATCTATATATAGATATAATCTAAACTAGATCTAGATCTAGATCTAGATTATATCTAGAATCTCTATATATAGTCTAGATCTAGATCTAGATCTATGTCATGTTCCCTTGCACATCAACATTTCATAGCGCAGCTTACCGTGATGAAAAAACTCAGTGTCTTCAGTCTTCAGTCACAGCATCATAAATCATGAGGATTAGATCTACTAGCCTAGCCTATTGGACTCTAGATCTATCATTTAACCAGCTCAGAAAGTTTCTAGCCCACGAATTCGAAGTGTTTTATGCGAAAAATGGGACTCGGGACCTTCTCAGCCGTTCCGTTTCTTCTCAAGGCCTACACGGCCTCTGAACACACGCAAGGCTATAGATCTAGTAGTGCGAGGAGGGCAGGGCAGGCGGTCTTGATTGGAATTCTAAATTTTACAATGCTAAACTTAAACAAAGACTGTCCACTTCGTTTTAGTTTTTGGACTAGCATAGGCCTGGCCCTTGCCTACGCAAGTCTCAAAGACACTTTGCACTTTGCAAGGTAAGGTGTGTTGAGCAAAGTCAAAGGATTATTGCATCATATGTCCAAAAAAACGGCTGAATTTCTTATACACAAATTTGATTTAGCCTGTTTTGTTATAAATTAATGTGTGGTTCTGAAAACTGAAAAGAATGTTTATTTTCCTTTCTGCCATGCAACAGATTAGATCTAGCCTAGTTCAAACAGTAAAAAATTGTCTGTCCGGGGCGCCGCGGCGCGTATCTTTTGCTTCTGAACTATTCTGAATTCTGCTGTAGACTATACTATACAGTACAGTGTTGTGCTGATCTTCCCTTGCCTTATATCTTTCCTTTTTGTTTGGCCAAGTCACCGAAGGAGTAGGCCAACAAATCAACAATGATGCCGATCAGCCTCTGAAATCACACCAAATGAATTTAGGGAAATGAAATCTTCTTCCAAAAGCCACCTGGTTGCTACTAATCTATACACTACAATTATTTATTAGGAGGGGTGATCTTGTAGTTTCGTTCGTTAAAGCTTTCATAAGTAGGCCTACACTAAACCACGGTAACTATAGTATTCTCTCTCTACCAGTATTGCCAGTATACTCTATACTGACCCGGAGTCAGGACCTTGCTCTGTTGCTTTCAATTTTAAATTTTATAACATTGCTACTTCAGAACTACTTAAGTTCATTCGAAAACGAGCCTTTCAGTTTCTCTTTTAAAATAAATGCTTATAAACTGAAAACCATACATTTCTGGAAAGTCTCTGTTCATTCATACAGAATTGTTTCCTCTAGCTAGATCTAAATCTAGTTCTAGATCTAGCCATAATTAGTGTAATGTTAAATAAATTTTGTGTATACTAATCATGTCCATAAAATTAACACTCAATTTTTTCCTCAGATCATCTGATTGTACTTTTAACAGACAAATGTTTTCGAATAAAACCGCCTGGTTCTCTGAAAGTTGTCACACTTTGGCCCAAAGAACATGGGGTAAGCATTGTATCACGACATGGTGGAATCAGGCGCTCGCAAATTTTTGGGCATGTAGTTGTAGAGTTATTGGTATCATCTGAAATCTTATTCATTTGCCTTGTTTTCTATGAAAAAAACACCCATCTAGATCTCTATCTTGAAAAGAAGTAAAAATATTTGCGATTGAAGGAGGTGGGGATAGCATGGTTGCAGAGGTTAAAAATTTTAGAATGGCCACCAAAGTTTGGTAACTTCTATAGTATGAGAGGCCTTGAAAACTGAGAACTTACATGTCGTATATTTTGTGCCATTAGTCTACGTTTTCCAGTAAAATTCACATGGAAGTGTATCTTGTAAATATAATGTATGACAATAAAAGGTGTTGAGCCAAAAAACAAAAATTCGATAAAAATTGCCAAACTGAAGGAAAAATTCTGTTTCTTCAATTTCATTACTTTGACTAGCGACTGATTTCACCACAATGACTCACATTTGTGTGTGTGTGTGCCTGGAGAAATAATTAGGTCCCAGTTGTCGACAAAGCTATTTTTGAGAGCTACGTGAAAGGCCATAAAAAAGTTCAGTTCTTGCTAAAATTGAGTTCCGTCAGGAAACACGCTATTTTCTTAATAAAATAACAAATTGAAAGGATTTTAATAATTTTATGTTTTATGTCTAAATATTTTTTATTAGTTATAATGATGTGTTTAAATGCTTTGCCAAAGTTTAAAATGTGCTGGAAAGTTGAGTTCTTCTCTATAACTTTGTTTTTACTCCCTGTGTTACAAAGTGTGGCATTTAAAACTATTCAAGATATTTGAAAAGTTTGAAAATTAGTGTGTTCAGCATTAAATACCCTTATCCTTATTTCAATATATCTAAAACTTCCGACAACTGGGACCTTTCTCCAGGCGTACACACATTTATTTTTAAAACAGTGTATTTACCACTATGAAATCAGTTCAATGAACAAAAGTATCTTTTCCTCTTGTTGATTTGAAGGGTAGGTTGGTTGGGAAGGGGGGTGGGGAAGGAGGTTGTATTTTTGGTGTTTTTATGCCCCAGTCAACAAAGTTTTGATTATTTAAGAGGTTTGCTTAGACTGACCCTGTCTGTCAGTGCCGACCCAGGCTGAGAGGGATACAACATTCTAGCAGAAAGACCAAGATACTCAATAAAAATTTTCTCCTCTCTCAGGAATTGAACTTGGGTCTTCTGTGTGCAACAGTGGCTTACCATTACACCACAATCACGCCACCGGTTCGAAAGGTACCGGTAGTAATATAGTAACACACATGAAATTTTCGACATACATCAACTGATCTGGGATTTCATTATTATGTACAGTAGGAGGTGTAGGGCTTCATCTGCTAATGTGATTCCTATGGTAGTGTTGTCATAACTGCTGTTCCATGCCCTAAGCGCTCTATGGTGCTGCGCTGTAGTCTTCCCAGCCATTGGGATCCAGGTGCCTCCTCTGTATAATCCATAGAAAGTCTGTACACATGCTGGATGAGAAAATACCCTGATCTCAAGTTATGAGATCTGTCAACAGACCTTACATTTTTAGCAGGCTGGGTACTGTCACACTGACAGTTTCTTTGAACGGTCGTTGAAAAAATTTTATTAAGAAGGGACCAAAACAGAATAACCACTTAAGAGGTTGGATCACTTGTCCCCTTCACTTCATCAAACCTCGTTACCCCCCCCCCCCCCCAACACCCAGTTATACCGCCAGATTTTGCCACTGTACAGAAAGGAACATATATATATATAAACATAGTTTTGCACCTTTACAGCTGTCTGAGTTTATGGTCCTTATCAAATTTAAACAAATGTGTAAATTTACCCTGTTGTACCACCAGTGAATTGGCCGCCAGAGCTACACACACACACGCCGCACGGTACCCACACTGCAAGGTACCCACACAGTGGATGCTTGATAATCTTTCCAACACACGTCTCTGCAAGCTTGGCCTATTTCTAGGCACTTGCCGATTTTCTCTTGATTTGTGCTGATTATGAAAATGCTATTATCTTAAGGCTTTGGCCAATATCTATTAAATAATTGGAATGAGGTTTTAAAGTCGCCTGGAGAATCGTCAAAGGAGCTGCACCAACTTGGCCTGAGAGCAAAATATCTGTCGTCACTAGGTATCAGCCCAATGACCTAACGGTTGGCTGGCACCTTTGGGTCTTTTATATTGTGAGGATTCACGCTCAAATCTACATGACTGGTCTACTAAGGCGGCCCAAAGACTGTCGAGTTTGGGGTTTTTTAAAAACAGGATCTCTGAGACATACAGCCTAGCTTCTGATCCTTGCTTCAAATAAAATTCAGCGAGAGCTGTACAACATTATATGTAATTACTTATTTTTTTCCTGCACATGGCAACCACACAAGACAGATCTAGATGAGGCAAGACTGGCCACAGTTTGTCTCTAGTCTCTACCTGTCTTCCATTAGTCAAGATGGCAATCGGAGGTGTCCCGTTGTACTGCCAGCCCCGCTGTACTGCCATCCTTATGCTCGGCCCAAAGTATCCGGTATAACGAAGTTTGACTGTATGTCCTCTCCTTTAGCCCCATATAATCCCCAACAGCTAACAGACTTGAATACATGTACAGAAGAAACCTGATATAACAGGGATGGTGGGACCAGAGAAAAGGTCCTGTTATATCTGATCCCTGTTAAATCAGAAATGCAAGGGAAGTAAGCATTTGTGGACTAATCCATCTGTATTTATTAGTATTTATCATGGGTAGTTTCTCTTGCCACAAACAAGTACCCACAAACAGGGGTTTTGGCCATGTGGCATGCCTTCGCATGACTCATTACGTGTGATGGTAGCTAGGCTTAGGGCTAGATCGAAGTCTGCAGCACACCGCAACCCTCTCTTGTTTCACCCGCTGCATGTGCTTCCAGTGGCGTGGCTTGCGTGGGCTTGCTCCATCACTACGTTTCTCTCTGTCTGTCTGTCTGTCTGTCTGTCTGTCTCTCTCTCTCTCTCTCTCTCTCTCTCTCTCTCTCTCTCTCTCTCTCTCTCTCTCTCTCTCTCTCTCTCTCTCTCTCTCTCTCTCTCTCTCTCTCTCTCTCCCTCTCTCTCTCTCTCTCTTACTTTTTACACATTGTTAACAAGCCTTTGTCCCTGCTATAACCGATTGGGCTACGGTGAGGTCTTGTTATTGCCAATAACTTTTAATAGAGACAAAGAGTAAGAAAAAACAGGGATTTAAAAAATCCCTGTTATTACCGGATCCCTGTTATTACCGGGCCTGTTATATATGGTTTCCCCTGTATATATTATGTTTAATGCTCAATGATTTACCGAATTTCCCATTTCTTGGAAACGTTTCTCTAGCTTTGTTTTTCAAAGGAGTGTATTTTTTTATATAACATAAATCTTTTGCCAATATTTGAAATGTAATTTTATTTGTTTGTTTTTTTCAACAGTGGAAAAAGGTGGAAAACTTGAAGATATTTCATTAGCACAGTTTATTTTCAGTGATAACTGGGAATGTCATGATACAAACAGGTGAGTATAATGAGATAAGGTGTTGTAGTAGAGAAGCTAAGTATTCCTACCATTTCTGCCAACAACTTTTAATTCATCACCTTATACTGAACTCTTCATATTGGATTAGTAATAGAATGTGAGGATGTTTTTGACCGGAAGAAATTCGTTGTCAAAGAATTTAGACCAGACTTTTGAATGGGAAGGATGTTTTCTATGGCCAAAATATGATCCCACCTGTGATATGATGTCCCTGTATAATTGTAAAGAGTAAAAAGGCAGCTTTTTTGTTCTGCTTTTCATTTTTACCAGGAATGACAATTCCACTTGCAATAACTAACCTGTGCTCAATGTTTGTCACCTTGAGAGACAGAAATATATATATATATATATATGAATATCCCTCTGATATAATTTATCTTTATTTTTTTCCCATTTAGCAAATACCCAGAATAACCAATGTAGTATGAATACAAACATAGTTTCAGGCCAGCTTTCTCTTTTTTTGTTATCTCAACAGTTACATTTAGTCAAATAGAAAATTGTAGTCAACTTTCTGTGGGTGGATACATGGTGGTGATCTGGCATGGTCTGTTCCTTCTATTTTTGGTTGGCTAGTGTTGCTACTGTCTTTTGTAGTTCTAAGCTAAATGTTTATTTCTGTTCATATTGTTATGAAATATGAACATGTGATACAACTTGAAGTGAACTCGTAAAAGTGTTGGTTTCAAATCAGTGTTTTTAGTCTTCAACTTCAACAGCTGATGTTTGCAAATAACTCCACAGTACAAAGTAACTATATGCACACATGATGTATGTGTGTAAAGAGGTATGAATGAGCAACAGCAGTGTAGATGTAGTGTCAAGGTATCTCTCCCTTACTTAGCCCCTTAGGAATCTCATACAGATGCCTAAATGATCCTGCAACAGTTGCTATTAAAATTTAAGTGGGTTCTGAGTTTTTCATGGAATGTTTTCATCCCAGCTCAGTATCCGGATTGGCAACAAAGAGCAGCGACTTTGAGATAACTTCAAGTTCAAGTGTGCATTGTTGAGTGCATTTGCTTCACATGTGAAAAAAAATGTAAATCTATTTGTGTTGCAATTTACTCTTATGATATTGAAATAACTGCTGCATCTTAGCTTCATTTAGACCATGTATTTGTCAACAGCCTGCTTACCTCAGAAGCCTACCTGAACCAGCACCTAGCTGTTTTCAGCTCACAGTATGTTGCAGATGCTGCAAAGCATGGCTCAGGAAATGTCATTCTTGGTGATTACTTCCTTGTGCCTGATAAAATCAGAGAATGTGAGTTACAGGAATTTTCCAGGCTTTTGTTTTCTGAGACTTTACATGACTTGTTTATAGAAGGTTTTAAATTAAAGTACTTAACTTTGTTTTATATGTTGTGTGTGCATTCGTATTGCTCCAGCCATGGAAAGTGGAGACTGCTAGATAAATTGTGGGATTGTTTATTCTTGTAATCATTTTTCAGTCCAAATACAGTGGAGCTCTGATTCAACGAACTTAGATTCAAAGAAAACTCGGATTCAACGAAAGGAGATAGATTCCCCCTTTTTTTTATATTCATTAAAATCAATAAAATAACTCATATTGAACTGACAAATAAATAAGCAAGCTCGAATTCAATGAAGTCTCTTGCAAGGTGAATAGTCCCCGTCGACGTGGATTCTCTCATTTTCCTCACGCGACGAACCTTATCTATTCCTGGGAACCATCCGTGGCACCTGCTTCATGAACCATTATTCGCTTTTACCTATTGTTTATTTTATGCGACCAATCAGCGGCCTTCTTCCATACCAACGCACACTTTGTTGGCACACGTTCGTGTCTTAATGTGTGTCGGGGTTGGATGGGCAACCAGCACATGTGCCACTTTGTGTATATGTGTCTTAGGGGAGGGAGCTCAAACGATTCGAGCATGTCATGTATCGTCATTAGAGATACAAACGTGTCAGTCATTTTGTCCCCCACCTCCAGCTACTGATCAATATTACAATGTTAAGCTAGTTTTGACATAGATCTACGTAATGATTTGCATGCTAGTTGGTGGAATCAGACGTTGCCGTAATCTAGGCTCTACACAGCAGCACAACTTGTTCAGCAAACAATACGTCATAGATGACACAGGCGTGCATTTGAAAGAATCTGCACTTTTGCACAATGTGTGCTTGGTAGAGTTCAATGTATTTTCGTGGAATTTTCCAGCATTTCTTCAGTATGGCATCAAAGAAATGGAAATGTTGAATTTTCCAGCATTTCTTCGGTATGGCATTAAGAAACGAAAATGCCTCTCATTTGAAACCAAACTACTTTTGATTGAGGATGTCGAAAAGGGGTAAAAAAGCAGGCATGTCAGGGAAGCCCACCACTTACTACTTCCCTTTATATATTTATTGCTCGGTGCGTAGGCGTTCACAAAAATCTCATGTTTGCTATAACGAACACTCGGATTCAACGAAATTGAACTCCAAGCCCGACAACTTCATTTAATCCGAGTTCCACTGTATATATTATATGGTAGGGTCTTCCAATTTCATTGCAACATACACCCATGATTCTATCCCAAATTGTCCCCGCCGTTTTATGGAAAAAATATTCTGAAATTGTGCAAACTGAACCAAAAAAATGTGAAATTATGCAATTCTGTTAATTTTAACAAAATGATAAAGGAAAATAAACAGAAAATTATGCGAAAAAATGATCAAATTTTGCTAAATCATGCGGGGTGAATAAAACCACAACGACAACTGTTACGGTGTATGTGTATAATTGTACTTTCAAGAAAGGGATGGGAGTGTATACAGACCCGGTAACCGGGAACAAAGTCACAAAGTATACAGACCCGGTAGGGGAACTCTTTTGTGATTTCGGAGAGTTTCAGCGCCCTCTTGGCTCAGGGTAGACCTAGATTCTTCTAGATCTATGGTCTAGGTCTAGATCTAGGCAGACAGACATAAATCTTTCATCTAGTTTCGCGGCTAACCTAGATCTAAATGAAGATTGCGGATGTCGTTTCGATGAACGATGGTTTTTCCTCTGTTTTGGAATTGGAGGAATCACAATCCGAAGAAAAGAACAAGTTACAATGTCATAATTTCAATCGAGCACTCTCTCTTCTCTCTCTCTCTCTCTCTCTCTCTCTCTCTCTCTCTCTCTCTCTCTCTCTCTCTCCTCTCTCTCTCTCTCTCTCTCTCTCTCTCTCTCTCTCTCTCTCCTCTCTCTCTCTCTCTCTCTCTCTCTCCTCTGTGTACCGCTCGCCTTCTCTTTTTCTTTGTTTGTCTCTGTATTTCTTTGTCCCCACCTATTTCCCACTCTATTTTTCTCTCATTCCCTCCTGCCAACTGGGGCATGTCATATACATTTTGCTAGCAACCCCCCTTTCTCTCTCTCTCTCTCACTCTCTCTCTCTCTCTCTCTCTCTCTCTCTCTCTCTCTTACACACACACACACACACACACACAAAAGATTTCTACCGGGTCTGAGGTCTGAAACTTCCCGAAATCACAAAAGAGTTCCCCTACCGGGTCTGTATACACTTCGTTCAAGAAAATACAATGGTATGGTACTTGGCCCAGTTTACCTCAAGGATCAGGAATCTGGAAAACCTGCGTAAAAAAGGCCGTTGTTATCTTCCACTACCAGGACTCTCATGAGATACAGTCAAACCTGCTCTACAGGCCACCTGCCCTAGACAGTCACCTGTATAAGTATAAGCTAACAAATGGCTATTTTTGATGCGGTGGAGCACATATTTCAGCTGATTTATTTGTGCCACACACTACCCACTACCTGCAGTGTGCATTTTGTTTTTAAAAAACATGCTTTTTCATCTAGGTCTTGAACACAGAGTCACTTATGAATCAGCTTTAAATGGCAATGGTGAAAAATATGATGGAAGCCAAGTTCACTTGGCCAGGGATGCTACACTGCCATCACAACCGTTTTTGCGCCCGGGGGATAGAGGGCACAGGGCAAGGTATGATCAGTCTCAAAAAAAAGTCTTTCGACCACCATCGTCTCAACAGGGGCCTTGTGGTGCTGAACGAGCTCAACATCCTGCCTCAGACTCATCCACCTCACCTCCTAATTCAAAGAAAAGGCGTGAGGTAATTTGCTTGGGGTTTTTTTAGGCACGCTTAATAAAAAGAAGTCATATAGAGTCTAATCCCTGGTTTTTGTTGATGTCAGGGCTGTTTCTTTTGTGTGAATTTAAAATTCAAGCAGATTTTTTGGGTTCACTTTCTTAATGACGTCGGTGGCCTAGTGGGTAGGCTCTCGGACTCGCATTCGTAAGGTCGTGGGTTCGAATCCCGTCAGGGACCCGACGTTGTGTTCTTGGGAAAGGCACTTTACACAAATTTTCCTCACTTCACCCAGGTGGGAATGGGTACCCGGCTATAGACAGCGAAAGATCTTGTCAGTTTGTTAGTATTTGAGCGCTTAATCAGCTGCTTGCACTGTTTGCTTCCCGGGAAGCTGAAAATGTTTCGGAGTGTTCTATGGTCTGCTGGGGTAATAATATACTGTAAAGTGCATAGAGCCTGCTGTTGAGCGGGGATTATGCGCTATACAAATGCTATTTATTATTATTATTTATTATTTATTCTATTGATGGCTGATTAATTTTCCTTGAATAATTCAAATTGTAGCTTTTGTCCAAATCCTATATTTAATAAGGCAGGGCATATTTGAAATTAAGGTACTTTTTATACCCACTTTCTCTTGTTGCATACCTTTGGCCTGAATTTAGATTGGTCATGAACCTGTTCATCAAAATGTGTTCATGTTAATTAACTTTTAGAATGGCTTTTAAGTCATGGGAGTGAATTCCTAATTATTCATCCTGAAAAAAGAAATCCCCAAAACTCAAAGTTTTACAAGTCTACCATGCAGTGTGTTTAAAAAGTGTTTAGTAACTAATACAAATGTGTAATCACGGATATCAATATATTTGATGTGGGTTATGTTTTTCATTCCAGGCTCCAAGCTCAAGTCATCTAGGTACCAGCTCCGTGGAATATAGAGTGCCTGATGGTGCTTGCCCTTGCAGAGTTTGGACTTACTTTGATAGCTTTTTTCATTTGCCTCTCTCTACTCTCTTCTTAGTACTCTGTAATTTCTCTTTCTCTTGTTTTCTATTTCATTCTGTCTCCTTCGGCATCTTTGCTTTGAATGTAGTGAAGGTAATTTTATTAAACGCATTTCAAATACATGTATGTCTATTATATATATTACTTTCAATGTCAAACCCCTTCATATCACCCACCGTTATACCACTAGCCGCAGCCCTGCTCACCACCAGATTTTGCTAATGCTCGAAAAAAAAACCCGTCTATATCTCTATATGAACATACTAATAATATTACTATTTACCCCTTTAAAAAAAACACCATCCGCCAACTGCTGAAAGTGTCGGCCTCCAGTCTTAATTAATCTAATGTAAATTTGCCCTGCAACACCATAGAGAACCGACCACTAGAGCTAGAGGTACAGCAGCTGTGATAACCTCCTTTTTTCTCACTTCACACCCGACTCTGCAAGCTAGCCATCCTCACTTGTAATTGTTGGAAGCCAAAAGAAGCCTAGGCCATCTCAAAGTTCGGACGAAGGGAAATAACTCATTACAATATTGTCCTTCGTCTATTTTGGACAGAACCATCCATGACTTTTGGCAGTTTTTGCACCAACTTCGTGTTCGCCCGTAGGTTGGCCGAAGTTGGCGGTATATCAGTGTTTGACTTTCAATTTTTTTTTTTTTTCTGCTGTCTAAAGTTTAAGGTGATGCAAGACATAAAATTAGAATAGATGTGAATTACTTTTATCATGCATTAAGTAAGACCCTTGATAAGTTCAATTCAGATGGCCCTTTTGGGAAAAGTTTAGTGAAAAAAGATCTGTTGTCCCACACTCTGCCTTTGCATGAAAAGTAGTTCACTGCAAGCACAATTTCATATCTGAAAAGGACATTCTTTAATAAAAAGTCTTTCTTTTTTTTAGTATGCATTAGTGGTTCAGGGAGTGGATTGCAATCCAGTGGTTTGAATGTCATATGTTGAGGTGTTGATAAATGTACATATATCCTTTTTTTATATATTTTTTTTTATAATGAGCTTTTCTGTCTTTAATTTCAACCATAAAATGATAATGCTCTTCTTATATTTATTTTTTTAATTTTGTTTTTCAGAAGGTGTCCCACATGTGAAAGATTTACCCAAGTGCATCAAACCCTTGAAGATCATTCGTCCGGAAGTTGACAATGTAGAAGTTCTTTATTACTGAATTTTTATGTTATACTGTTGATGTTCCTTTTTGAGTTATTTCACTGAATGCTTTCATTATATACAACGAGGTCTGGTTAAACCAAAATTTGTAGGACCCCTGGATTTTTTTCAGTTAACTCTTTATCTCGGAGGGGGGTAAAGCCACTACGCCAGGGCCATTTTTTGGTGCTAAATCTAAAAATGACAAAAACGTCATTAAATGGGTAATTAAATCGAGACTAGCAAACCTATTTCGATAATTCTTTATTAAATCTAATGAATGAACTTCCAGTGTAAGAGACCTGTTGCCGAAAAGTAATTTAATGTCGAAGTCATCGTAAAGGAATGTTGCCGAGCCGCAAGGAGCGGCTTGCCGGAGATAAAGAGTTAAGCCAGATTTTTGGTTTAGAGATTTAACTCAAATTGAAAGAAAAAAAATCTAAGATTTCTTTTGCTTTCTGTTTATTGCTTTTTTTGATTTACCATGTTCAGTTTAAGTGGAGTCTACCCTATGCGTTGTACTATCTTTGGAAAGATAAAGTACTCTACCTCTTTTTAAGTGAGTTTTTTTAGTCTATCTTACCCTGTAACTGATTTCTTGGATCCTGTCATGAAAAATGGTTGGAGGCCTAGTTGTTTTGTTTCTTTTTTTCTTTTTTTAAAGTTTTGCTATTCACGTAAATTTAGATAATTGGGCTGCATATGTCACAGCACTATGGAATCAGGCGCTCGTCAATTTTTGGGCATGCCAGTTATTGGTATTATCTTAAAGTTTGTTGATTTGTCTTTCTTTCAATAAAACAAATAAACTTTTCTGTCTTGAATAGAATTCAAGATATTTGCGATTGAAGGAAGTAAAATTAGCGAGGAAATGGTTGCCAAAGTTTAATGACTTTTATAGATTGAGAGCCCTTGGAAACTGAAAATTTACATTATTTGTGCCTTGAATCAACATTTTTTCAGTAAAATTCACCCAGAAATGTGTTTTTGACTCTAATGGATAAAAATAAAAGGTGCTGAGTCAAAATAACACAAAAAAATAACTAAAAACTGCCAAACCGGCGATGGTAAAATGACAGTTTCTTTGATTTCAGTTTTTTTTTTACTTGCACCTGATTTCACCTCGATGCTTCACAAACAGTTGTAGCCAAAATTTTAAGACCACCTGATACTTTCTACCTCTTTTAGCAATAAGATGAACATAGGCCTATTGTTCATGACAATACATACATGTATAAATTTTATAGTAAATAGTTACTTTACCAGCTATACATGGTAAAACAGAGCACTAAACGGGACATCAGTGGCAGTAAAATAAAATGGTCTGTTGTTTTCCTGGTGGCATTTTTGATAAATTTGTCATTCAACTTGTTTTACAAAATGTGATGATGGAACCTGTATGAATTATATTGTCGGCAAGTTGTTCAACTGTTCTAAGCCCCGAAAGCAACATTTTTCAGGAGAGAGAAAAATGTGTCTCATTCAATTTGGACTCGAAATTTGCTCAAAATATTTTTCAAGCACATGCAACCTATATAACCTTTAAAAACTTTTAAATGTTTTTCAAAATTACGTTTTAGAACATCTCTGGCCAATGATATGTAAGGAAATACATACATATATTTTATTATTTTGCTTGTAAAAATGTGTCCTGGAGAGGATAGCTAGGAAAACAGTTTTCAAATAAAAATGAGTACATGATGCAGTAATTTATATGATTTTTTTTCATTTATGAATAGCTTTTCTGAGTGCAAATTTTAATTTTTGTCTCCTTGCTGCTTGTGATTTGTTGGAATTATTGTCATTGATCATGTATAGGTTTCATAAATCAAATGTGTAATGAATACATTATTTTGTCACAAAAATAATCCATTGAAGAGTAGATAATCTTCAAGTCAGTTGTTATCATTTATCATACTGAAATTTGGGGGGGGGGGGGGGGGGTTGTTTTGTTCTATGCTCCGGTAAATTATTTGTGAGGTAGCGTGGTGGAATCAGGCTCTCGTCAATTTTTGGGCACATAGAGTTATTGGTATTATCTTAAAGCTTGTTCATTTGTCTTTTTAAGGTTTTAAAAAATATCCATTTATTTTAAATACAAGTCAAGATATTTGAGAATGAAGGAGGTGGAGGTAGCCTGTTTTCAGAGCTAAAATTAGTGAGAAAATTTCCGCCAAAGATTAGTTATTTCCTAAGCTTAAGAGTCCGTGGTAACTGAAAATTTACATCTTTTATGCCTTTAATCGTTTTTCAGTAAAATCCACACAGAAATGAGTTCTTTAATGGCCATAAACGGTGTTGAGCCCAAAAACTAAAATTTGATAAAAATTCACAAACCTGCAGAAAAATGCAAGTTTCTTCACTTTGATTATTTTGACGAGAGCCTGATCCCACCACGCTGCCTCACATTTCATGTTTTGGGGGGTTTTTTTCTTAAGTTTTTCTTTGTTGCCATTGATGTAAACATATGGATCAATAGATTCATACAGATAATTAATTGATCGAACGTTTGGTTGAATACAATTTGTATATAGTGTGAATAATAAAATATTTCGTATGCATTGACAAATAGCATCCTGAAGTTATTTTATTTTTGTAAGTTTTGATAGGTTTACCTAAAACACCAGGTGCCAAAGAATAATAAGCCTTATATAATATTTTACTGGGTGCCTACTGGCTGGACTGGGTCAGGCTGGATTGACAAATGAGGGTTTCAGAGTACACTATGATATTATACCCTTCCCTTGTTGTGTCAAATTTAACCAAAATAGAAAACTTTGGCCTTTGACAGGCATTCCATGTTTTTGTATTCAAAACTTGCCATTCATAATACCTATACATGTACAACCATTTCTTTCCGTAATAACGACTTCAAGTGCCAACTGCGGCCTATCATGGTTTATGTACGAGAGGTTACTGACTGACATGAGGAATGTTGATAGCTTTCTTGATCTATCAGTATCAACCTCTCCAAATCTAGCTCAGAAAGATCTGTATTTTTTATGCTTCGTTGTAAATTTATTATAGGCGTTTGATAAAGTTAGGCATTATGATAAAGTAGGCCTATATTCTTAAAATTCTGGTGCTAGACTCATAGATTAGATGGAAAAGATCCAAGATTATTAGAATTTTGCACTGGGACCAAAACGCTGCTGTGTAAGAGTTGCGGGAGAATATTACAGCAGATTAAAAAAGGAATTAGGCAGGAATATGATTTGGCATCTTTAACCCACACAGTGAAAAATGACATAGATTAGTAAAAAGTCTCGATCTCATTTTGATTCTTTTTTTACCAAGCGAAGAAATGGAAAGAGATTAAATAACATTAGATGGGAAGACACCAGGATAATATTAATAAATTATTGGCGTTTTTTTAAAGAACGTATCCAAGAGGAGAAATGAATGTAGAACCATGATCGCCAACGCCTGTTTCAGACCTTCTGGCACTTTATGATTGTGAAGTCTGCAGTGCCAGTGACCAAATCCATGATAGAACCTGTATTATAGACTGTTTGCCCTGTTCATGGTAGGCTACTGTCATTTTTTTATCTTACGATATCGTGATGGGTAGAATTAGCACATCTGAACTGAATAGAACTGCACCCGTCAGTGGGGATGGGGGGACGACTAGAATGTTTTCAAATGCTTCTTGAGAAGTGATGATAGAGATTTAAGTTGACATTCCACAGTATGGGTTCACAGAGATGCTTTTTTGCCATTTCAAGTCAACAGATGGCATACCGGGTAGTAAGTAAGTAAGCAAGTCAACAAAAAGTTCTTATGTCTACAATAGTAGTAGGCCTAACAAATAAATTCAAATAGCCTTTAATAATTATGTCCACTTCTCGAAAGGTATCATTCATGGCAAAATAAACAAACAGCACTTACATAGTATACCCTGTTCTTTACTTTTGGCTCGTGCTGATTTGCGCAATAACTCTTTGCATGGGTTCGACACCCGACTAATAAACAGTAGTAAACAGGTCATTTCGATGGCAGCAAGCACTTAAGATCAGTGCAAAGAATAACTTAGGGGGGAAAAAATCAGAGACAGTACACGAGGGCGACTGAAAATTTTCTACTCTGAACTAAATTTTCTCCTTTCACCTCCTTAAAGTTTATTCCTGCTCTCCAACCATGTTCTGTCGTCTGCATTCGTCTCCACTTTCTGCCCCATCCCCTTTGCCCTCTACTATGGGCTCCTTACTCTTTTACAGCCTTATTTGTACTGCTACTACTCGGCTCCTTCTTAAGTTCTTACTGCTGTCTTTCATGAGCCACACCCGTGGTCTTATGGTAGGTAAGATCTAACACCTAGCCTTCTCAGATGAGGGCGACAAATCTCGGAGGCCTCGTGTGCAAGTTGCGCACGTTAAAGATCTCTTGGTAGTCCTAAAATCGAAAAGAGTAGGCTTCGGCCACCACCCGCAGGCAAAATCAAAATTCCCACCAAAATGAAAATATGCAAAGTGTTTCGCGCGCTCATAATATGACCTTACGTAGTTGCGAGCGTCGTAAAATACTTAAGTAAACAAAACTAATAGCACACATTATGCACATACAAAAGTACAAGTAAAATGTATCTGAGCATGGATGTTCATGCATGATATTACACTGACGAGTCGATGCGTTACCTTTCTGAAGGCGCAAAATCATAAGCCTTCCTTTTACTTCGTGCTTCGATCAATCATTTTATATGTAGGCCTATAAGAATGAAGAAAAAAGACAAGTCATGATTCTCCTTTCGTATCATTTATTCTTACTCTCTATTTTTTTATAATTTATTTATTTATTCATTTATTTATTTATTATTTCAGCCTTTTGTTTAGGTCCATCCCAAGTTTTTGGTTAGATCTGTTCACATACCGTATATGGTGAGTGTATCGTGCCTATTTTTTGTAAAGTGCTTTGTGGGACTGTCGTGGTCTAGAGGCTAATGTGTTTGCCTCTCATTCAGCAGGTCCTGGGTTCGAATCCGGAGCAACAGAAAATATCATTTCACAGCCTTTCCTTTTGTCTAACAATGTTCTGTCGTCTGGTCTCACCTTCTGCCCCCGCCCCCTCACCTCCTTTGCCCCGTCCTCTGGGTTCCTCTTCTGCAGCCTTTCTACTGCTACTCCTTGGCTCCTTCTATTACCCACTGTTGTTTTTCAGCCACACCCCTGATCTCAAGGTAGGACAGATCAATGATAAAAATCTCGAAGGTCCCGTGTGCAGGTTGCGCACGTTAAAGATCCTTTGGTGGCCAAAATCGATAAGAAGAGTATGCTTCGGCCGCCACCTGCGCAAAATTCAAAATTTCCTTCCAACTAAAAATGTGTAATGTATCCAGCGAGCTCATATGACCTTATGCAGTCCTCTACTCTTTTGTCGCAACTTACATGTATGGCAGACGAAAGAGGTGGACTGTGTGAGCCGAGGAGAAGAACGCGGTGCATTATGTGTTTATTTTCCCCCGATGAACGCAATACCGAAGCAGTTTACTATAGAGGTGAAAGATAGAAAGCAGTCAGGCGTGACTTTTCAGGCATTTA